TTCAAAAGTGCTAACCTTCATAATAGCTGCCTCATGTGGCGATAGGAATGGCATCATATGGAGGTCTCCATGTTCCATATAACTTGCAGAAGTTTTCTGTGACCTCTTACTTTGGTTATTGGAACTTCAGCTGTGGAGCTTTAGGAGATGTTTTAATGTTGTAACTGTGTCGTATAGCTGCACTGCATTCTGGGACTTTGAGTCCAGGGTTTGCGCCAACTTCCCCCCTACGTCTATGCTGGATTGATTTCTCATTAATATGACATTGGAAATCGCTGGAAAATGAAAATGAGTGAGAAAAGAAAAGTTTTTAGGTGCTAACAGTGAAACTTGACCGTTATCACTTATGTTTGAGAACTGAATATTTTTTCTTCCGATTAAACAGCATTGTGAGTGCGCTAGCAATAACAACATTCTCCTGTGACATCAGTGCAACACACAACCTCTAACTCCTCACAGGAATAATGAAAACCCAGCCCCAGAATCACTAAACACAACACTAATATTTCAATTTAATTGGTTTCAGGATAAATGTTTGCTTTAACATGTAAAGATTTAGTGTTATGGCTCTACAGTGTCCAATAAAATGCAGAAAATCTAGTTTACTCTCTTGTCTATGCTTGTCTAATGTTTATTGCTTGTCACATTACAGACTCCTGCCACATGCTCTGTGTCCTACAAACGTCCCACACAACCCAGGAAAACGAGGAACATTTTGGACATTTGGACAGATGCCTGAATCTGAGGAGGCATTTTCAGAAAATCACCAGGGGAAAGGCAACATTATGGCAGTGTGGAAGTGCTCCATAATACCCAGCTGTAAGTTTGATGTGCGGCGGGACAGCAGAGCGGATTGCGATCACTCGTACTCGTCACCTCCTCTGATTGATGGCTAATGGTGAGCAGAGCCAGTTATAAAGATTCCACTTTCCTTTCTCCTTCCTCTCTCTTTTTCGAGGTGCTATTCTCTGGTGTTCTCTGTTTGCTCCCACTGATTTACCACTACTGCTTCTTCCTCCCTCATATCCAGCGAGCTCGAGCACAAACACTTATGATCCTGTTGAAATTACCCTGCGGTCGCCGTACAAATAGTGCCACCTGTTACATCTTTGTCAAACGTCATTCTTCCCCCCGAACCAGAGCGGTAATTTGCTTTCTCCATGCCTGATTTCTCCCTGCTTGTGTTTAAAGGCCATAATTTCACTTGTTTTTTTGTTTTTTTTACAAGTTTCAATTATTCACTCGTTCTCTCGAGGCACAGGCGTAAGAAGACACTTTCAAAGAAAAGTTTCTCTCACAGATGTAGATGAGAGCAAAGAGAGGGAGATCAAAAGCACCGAATGGCACCGAACATACAAATGTATTTATTAGGATGTAAAAAAAAAAAGCAATAGAGGAGGAGTGCAGCTCTGGAATTAAATTCCTCTTGATTTTAAGCTGGGGAGTAATAAAACCTGATTGTACAAGAGCGCTCCAGCTTTCAGATGTTTTGTGGATATTGGTGCAGAGCTCCAGGCTGTAGCTCAGCACTCAGCAAGCTTAAAATCCACATCAACTAACTCACATCCATATCCTGCTTGAATACCCATGTCCATTTTCAATCAAATAATGCCACCTGGGTTCTCAAGTGGCGCAATACAAAAGCGTTTAGAGATCACGAGTTCAAATCCTGGCGATGCCACAGCCGTTTGTGCCCGGGAGCCAAGAGGGGAAAATTGGATGAGCTCTATGGGTGGGAAGGATGGTGTAACAAGTTCTCTCCTGTCAATCACAGCAATACTAGCCAATTCATGGGCATCTGTCAGCTCATGTATGCAGAAGAGGGCGGATAGCACTTTCCTCTGAGTGTGTTCCGCCTGTCCTGTGATGCAGCAGTTCTAAATGATTTTGGTTTTCTCAGAGGAAGAACATGTTACATGCATTTACCCTCCCTAGTTGGCAGCTGTCATATGATAGCAGGCCAATGGGTGGGAATTGACCACTTTGAGGAGAAAATGAGAAAAAAATTAGTTACTTATGAAGTCATGTTGCACCAAAAGGACCTCACGTTTGCACCTGAAGTGCGGCGAGTCAACAGAAGAAAAAAGTGGAGAAACGACTTAAAAAAGCTGAGTGAATTTTAAAATGATCCAAATGCCCACTTGTAGTGAGAAGCAACAAATTCTTCCTAAGCAAATATTTAATATTATGTACTGAATATTAAGTTCTTGATTACTAAACAAACAGTGACTAAATGTATGAAATAATTGAATTAGATGAGTGAGTCATGGCTGTACTCACTCAAACGTGTCACATTACGCATATAGAGTGCATTTTTCATTACCCATTTTCAGCCACAAGTGGCTATGAGTCACTTTCGGCAGAAAAACTCTAACAACGACTAATTATTTATGCAGACTTTAATATCACTGGTTTTCTTTTAACTTTAGGAGGACACACTGAGCTCTTGGCACCCTATTATGATTGAAGTTTTATGTTACATAGCGGTTATTATCACTGTTGTGGACTACTGCAGTACCAATGTGCTAAAATACAGACGAATCATTCACACACATCCGCTAGAAAAATGCAGCTAATGTAAGAATTTAATAAATATACATATTGTTCCAACAAAATTGGTCAAAGCATTGTGATCTCTATCACAAATTCTAAGCAAAAAAATCTGACTCCTATTTCATGAAGAATCGCGCAGTCCTAATGTGAATGTAAGAGGCGTTTCTTTGGAGGTTGTCGACTGGTGACTAGGCACTTTACGCACAATTTGTACAATATTATGCAGAATTTACAAATAATTTTTTCTTTGCTGTTAAAATAAATGTGCTGCTATCACTTGTCTCCCTCACAGGGAGAACTGTTAATCATGAGACACTGCAAGGGTGCCAATACTTTAAGCTTAACAAAAATACAGAGAAGCGTTTCTCAGAGTTTCATTGCGAAGTCTAAGTTTGTCAGACGACGACACTAAAATAAAAACAAAAAAGAGTGGCGTAGTTTCTGTCTTAAAATCTCAAATGCCGTTCTATTGTCCATTTAGTGCACTAGGCAGGGTTCTACCCCATGTAGTGAGCAAATACAGTGAATGGGCAGCCATTTTGGATTTGACCCAAGTTGAAGATGGTGGATTTTACAGGAATCATGGGTAAGAAGTATAGAATTGCACTAAATATCAGTGACAAGAAAACATTACTGTGGCTAAATAAGTAAATAAAAAATATAGAACTTTAGATTTTATAAGAAAATTGTGATGTTCTCACCTAAAGCTGTCAGAAAAAGGAAATAAGGAAGGAATGTCCCGTAGAAAAACCGTTCTAGCTAGTTTGTATTTTGTTTTGTTTATTAAATCATTAAATCGTTGTTGTTTGTATAGTCTTGAGCAAGCTGGTAAATAAAAATTTCCGTTGGGATCAAAATGACAAATCTGTGACTATTGTGTTTGACCAATCAATGATGTTTACTATTTCTAGCTCCACCCACATGCCCATGTTTGGTTCCTTTGGTACATGGGTAAGAAAAAGTAAACAAATTCAGTACAAGTCTTTTGGAAACAAAAATAAAATGCTGGATCAGTGTTAAACATTAGCATAATGCTAGCTTACTGGCTAGCAAAGACAGTCTCGTTATTGACATATCCTCTTGACACCTGCGTGAAGTCTTACCGAGGTCGATAGTGTCCGTGACAGGGGTCTTACTCGCTCCTTGTTTCTCTGCCAGCATTTCTGAGAGCCCTTAAAAAAAGAGGCTTCCATCGGAGCAGGTAATCGTTACTAGATTGCAGAAGCCTGGTGCGAGTCTCAAGGGTCACGCCACTGCTATGGAGAGGTTGAAGGGAGGAAACCTTTGTCTGGTAGTTGATAGAAGCTCTGAAATGAGGTGAGGGATGAAGGGACCCTGATGAAAAATTAAAGAACAGCGAGCAGGTCGAGGAAACTGGAGATCATTTAAGGGGCAATCGTCTTCTTAATTACAGCGCACTGCGGTTTCACCATTTCATTTGGGGAAAATTCTAGCGTGAGGTTGCATTCAATTTGTCTTTGCTGTACTTGTGGCGTGGACTACTGCACCCAAGAGACACTGCTCGAGTTTTAATTAATGCTTAGGAGCACGGACACAACACAAAAATAATGCAAAACTGTACCAAATATGTAATTCATAGCATGCAGTTCAAGGTTTAAATTAACTAGCAAAGTGTTTTTGTGCTATGCTAAGCTCAAGAGCTGGTATACTAAAAGCTCTAATGGTGTTTTTTTAAGCTCCTGTCTAATCAAAACTTCACTGAGCATTGATCTTCCAAAATGGAGTACGAATCCCCATTTATCCTTGAGCTCCCACTGCTTCACATCAGCCTTTAGCTAAATGATACACACATAAGTGTCCCTCTAGGGCTCTTATTATGTTTTAAATAATTAATATTTACAGGATTATTAATAATTAACAAGACTGCACTCTTTATCCCTGGATCTTGTAGTGTTTCTTGGTGCATTTGGACTATTTTCACACTCAAAACCACACATACTGCAGAAACTAGTGCTGACTTTCCACTACAGATCAAACAACCGGTTGTTCACCGTCCCACTGCCTCATGTCAAGTCATTCTCCCTGGTGAAATGTTAACGTTAAAGTTCATTAACAGAAATAATTTGACTCAATTAACTGTCAGGCTAAATGAAAATGCAAGACACACTTGCGTGGAATGTGCAACATCTTCACTAGCAAACGAGCTCTATAATTAGGCTAATTCCATTCATTAAATCAAAATTGGTGTTTCAGAGATTTTTTGCACCTTATAGACACCAAATATGATAGCAAAAAAACTATGTTGTTCTTCTTCTTTCGGCTGCTCCCATTAGGGGTCGCCACACTGGATCATTGGTCCGCATATTAGATTTGGCACAGTTATTACGCCAGATTCCCTTCCTGATGCAGCCCTCTCCAGTTTTATCCAGGCTTGGAACCAGCATTGGGACTGCACTGTCTTGTGCAACCCCAGTGGCTGGGGTTGGTTCCCTGGCCAGGAATCGAACCCGGGCCGCCGCAGTGAGAGCGCCAAGGCCTAACTACTAGTCCATATAGCAAAAAAAATTTTTAAATAATATTTCATAGTTCCAAGAGAATGATCCAAAAATCTTTATGAGGCACAACTTTGTGATCAATGAAATGCTCTTTAGAAATGTATATGTCCCGCCCCGGAGGCGGGTCTTACTCTACAGTAGTAGCTTGTTAGCAGCAAACGGTGTGGTTTGTTGGTGTGATTTTGCCTGCATGTCTTCCCGCACACACTGTTCTCTTTTCCAGCCATCACTTGGTTAAGGGAAAAAAATGGCTTGTGTTTTGAAGAGGAAGGAATTTGTACAGTTGAGTTGTGACAGGTGATTTTTTCGAGGTGTTTTACCAACTTCAATGCTGGAATATGTCGCTTCCCCAGACAGAGTTCTCCATATTTAGCTAGCTCATTAAGCTACTGACTAGTTTGTTTAGATTTGGATGAAGTGTATCTTGAGCTATATTGGCTGTTGTGTAATTCAGTCAAGCATTTCAACACTTCCTGTTTCAGAAGGAAAAGGTCAATATACAGAATTAAATCACAGCTATTGTGGCAACTTTTAATAGTTACAAAACAAAAACAAAATTTACCTGCTCATGACTGATCATCGAATGCTGGAGTTGTGAAAACGGATTCCGGTGTTGCTCTTTCTCATGGCAGGAGCACGTACGGAGACGCACCTTAGACACATCCAGTGTGGATTTACTGAGGTCTTGATGTGGCACTTACACAATGTGCTCTGGTGTGAATTCAGACCAGCAGCTCTTACACTTTCTGCACAACCTGAAAAAAAACCCTCTCCTGGTAGAGTTGGTCCTTCAGAGCCACCACTGAAAGAACACCATCATTAAACATCATTAAAACTTCATCATCCATCAATATATCTATCTATTTCTTATGTATTAAAATGATGTCATTAAAACATCATCATCTTCTCTTGCCATCAAATTTCCATCAAGGTTTTTGAGAAGGTCTTCAGCTGTGACCTCCCACTGATCACTTCTTCAGAGCTGGTAGACACTGAGGATCCTGACTGGTCCAGATCCTTCCATCTAGCAAACAGAATACGAAGGTATTTTAATTTAGAGCACTTTTTACAGTACAGATTATCTCAAAGCAGCTTTATAGACAATTCTGGATAGCTAAAGATGATTGTGGGAGAAAGAAACACCTTAGGATTTAAATTCACAATGTTTTATTCCTCTTATACCACAACAATTTGCTACCACTAAGATTTTTTTTATTTATTACAAAATGACACGTCATACTTCCCCCCTTCATTTTCTACCCAATTTGGTCACCTGCTAATTCCCACCCACCAGCCAGCTCTCCCATCATACGACAGCTACCAACCGGAGAGGGTGAAGGCTAAGACATGCTTCCTCCAAGCTCACAGGGCAGCGCAACACACTCGGAGAAAAGCGCTATCCGCCCTCTTCTGCATACAAGAGCTCACAGAGACCCATGATTGGATAGTCTCGCTGTGATTGACAGGGAGAGACAGTATGCCCCTCCCACCCAGAGAGCACATCCAATTTTGCTCACCTGGCTCCCAGCCACTGATGGATGTGGCATCGTTACGATGACATGTCATCCTTTTTATCCATTTATAGTTACATTTAATGTCATGGCGTGGAATGTAAACTCCTCTGGTGGAAAATTACAGCTTTATCTCTGACTGTTACAAATCACTGACACTGGAGACTCCTAAATAAATAAACATTTGTCGAGCGTCCGCCATACGAGTAAATGGAATTTAAGTGGAATTTGTTACTACAGAAACAATAACATATAAGAATTACTATAACCCTGTGTTTTGTCAGAGCTGCTGTTCTAGAAACCTTCTTTCTTCCGACCAATCAGAGTTGAGAACTCAACACCACTTAAGCTTCTAACCATCTTGTTTTCTCCTTGTGTGCTGTATGTTTGAGTACCATAATACGTGCCAAGCAGAATTCTAAGCACTGCCAAATGAAGAGTAATTCTGAGTTATGTATGCTATAACACTTTGCTTTGTGTAGGCTGTAGAACTGCTGGTAACTGCTTTAGACAAAGTGGAACTCCTTTTCATCTTTGTTTTTTTCCCCAAGTCCGCAAGCCCATCAAGCCGTAATCTAATAAGCAGCGGTTAGGCTTGATTCGTATGGGACCCACTAAATGTCAGCGTGCTAACAAAACCCCTCGTCTTCTCTGTCCCTGTGGACCGGAGGGAGGGCAGTACAGAATCTGGCATCGCTAAAGCAGGCTCGTTGCTGGAATTGATTAGCATTTAGATTGTATCGTCTCTGATTCGCAAGAGAGGAAGAGAGCAGCGATGGCTCGAAAGCAAGCCGGTTTAGTAGCAAGGTGTGGAAAATTGTACCTAAATGGATCCAATTGCTTGAAACCACCTCTTGTTTTTCTTCACATCAATTGTCCTTCGACTATCGCAGACCAAACTGACGCCATTGTGAGTGGTCTGATGAGAGATGAAAGATCTCTGCGCCTCATTATGAGCTCCTTGATAAGACGTTTACATGCCCAGTCAGAGCACCTTGGTTCTTTAATTCAGCTGCTAATTGTTATTAATTTCGCCAGCCTATTACAGCGATAAAACAGGGTCAGGCACGGATGCTAATTAGGATTAACTGGGGAATTTTCATTTTTTAAAAAAAAAAAAAGCTCTGGCGTGTTCTTTGTGTTTTAAAAGTCAGACATTTAAATAACGTTGAATATTAATGCTAAGCTCTGTTACAGTGTGTGCTTCGAACTGCAGCGTGCACGACTTCAAAAAGGAAAAAAAACTCCCCAAGGTATTTGATTTGACATAACGGAGAATTTTTATACACAGAGAGGATAGAAGAATAGAAAAAAGTCCCCAAATGGCACATAGTGGTGCTTCTGCAAACTTTTTGGTTGCTTTATTTTTGCTTTATCATTCTTATAAAGCTGTAGAGGAACCCTCCTACGTGCTTCCTGCTCCATCCTGAGCAGTCTCGTCGATCATTTTTCCCGCCTGTGCCTCATGTTAGAATTGTTGTCTAGCTCCAAGGTTGAGACTTTTTCTATCCTTGTCTATGCTTTCTATTTATATAAGTATGAATTTGTCTAGAATTACTCAGTCTTTCATCCTGACATAGACTATTGGCCTTTATTGGTTACTAATCTAAATCCAGAACTAACTGTACCCTGGTCATGTATCTCTGAAATTTATATATCATTTATTTCATGTAAACACAACAGCATTGTTAAATTCTTGAATTCTCGATTCTGATTGGTCAGAATATGTTGATTATTTTCTATAATGTTCTATAAGATTACACAGGGATTTGACGTAAAATTAAAAAAAATTTTTAAACCTGTGTCATTGTTGAAGTTCTCGGTTAGATGTTTATATAACTTATGATGTGTATTTTATTTATGGTAGAGGTAAAGTTAGAGGTAAAGTTGTAACATTTATATTTCTGACATGGGAAAGTCTTCAGGTCAGAGGGTAACAAGCACCTTAACAATGTTATTTCAAACAGATTTTAAAAAATACATGTCATTCTTTAATAAATTGCTAGCTGGCAAACTATTTTTTTTTTTTTTCGCTAGACCCCGTTTTTTTTTTTTTTTAGGTGATGCTTATTATACATTTATGGAAAGAGTCTCCTGTGTCAGTTCTTTGTCAGAGATAAAGCTGTAACTGTAACTTATATAAGTGCATGATGTCACTGAGCACTTTACTGAAGTTTTTTTCAGCTGTTAAAATTTCACTCACCATAGGATTAGATGTAAAATGCTGGCGGTTGGGGAAAAAACAACCCCATCATCATAATCATCATGTAGTTTGAAGCCTTATATCAGTGTTTTCACAATAATGCACTTTCTGAGAGAATGTTTTTAAAGCGTAGGTGCATTAAAATCATAAGATCCACGCTCCAAACCCCGAACACCACGATCCTCCCTCCTCCCTCAGACCTCTGTGGACTCCTTACTGTATTAAGCACAGCTCTCTCACGCTTCTATCAGCGTGCACTTTCTGAGGGCTTGACATTAAGAAGAATAAATGGCACCGGTCTCACGACGCAACATAATTCATCAAAGTCTCTGCTACAAGTAAACTAATCATGGCGCCGACGTTTCGCACTCAGGGTGAATGTTCAAACACGAGCCTGGTTCCTTGCCTGCATTACAGGAACCTCCAGGGATGCAGGAGGTCTGGAACTAAACCAGGTTTAGATTCCCATCTGGACTGTCACGATTAGAAAGAATTGGCGTGATATAATTCTGAATGACTCATGCATATACAGAGCACAATTTACGTCCTGCAGGTCTGCGACTTTTTTAAGGAGGTTTTAAAGGAAAAAACCTCCATCATGAGACACATGAAATATGTTTATATTGGAATATTTGTGATGTGTTTGGTGATAATTGGTTGGTTGGTGCTGTATTTTTGTTATTCCCGTGAGTAGTTAGAGGTTGTGGGACCTCTGTTAGCTTTTTTTTTTTTCCCACACTCACTTTTCATTATCCAGAAATGTTCAACATCACATTATGGAGCAATCCAGCATAGAAGTTGTGGAGACATTCAATGCAAACGCTGGACTCAGAGTCCCAGTATGCAGTGTAGCTATACACACCGAGTTATGACTTGGCTAGTTAGCGATCTAAGAGAGCACGATGATATTAGCATGAAAAGCTGAAGCTTAGAAAACTGATCTGTTTGAGCAACGCATACAGATGAAAGGCATAAAGCGCCGCTGCATCACTCTCTTTAGGTAGAAAACAAAAAAAGCTTGGACGTCGCTGAAAATCACATTAAATATAAGGCTTAATAAAGTCATAATAAAGGGTGATTTTTTTTTTCCTTTAATAGCACAAGCTTAAAAACAACCTTCAGGAGACTTTATAATGCGCTGGCGTTAACACCCGAGGTGTAAAGTGATCCGAGGTGTATGCTTCAGAGTCGCACCTACTGTGTACCAGAAGGTGTTAATGTAACACAGGTGATCCTGCTGTGAACATTTGTACCAAAGAGCATGATTAACAAAAAAAAAAAAAAAAAAA